ACTTAATCCTCTGCTTTCAGTATAACACTCTGGCCTTCATATCTGCCTGGTATTCCTGAATAAAGAGGTCCGGATTCCACAGCTCCAGAAAATAAACTACCTGTGTTCCATGGAGGAATGCCGAAGCAGTAACCTGCTCTAGGACCAGGATAACTAGGAGGGTCTCACTGCTCTTCCTGTTTTTAACCCCACCTTGCCTGCCTTTGGTGATATCTAATGCCTCTTATGCATGAGCTTTAAGACCTTGAATCTGCTTGCTTCTGGCCACCTCCCCACCACCTCCTGTTGGCACTTAGCTTTCATTTTTTTCTCGAGTATTTAGTTATCAATTGCCCATTTGCTTCCTAGATTCTAAAATTGTTTTGTCATCTGCCTGTTATCTCATCACCAATTCTCTTTGGGCTTAAGTTTATACTGTATTTTTTGTTTTTGTTTTTTGGATTGGAGAGGGGGTTGGGTATTGATACCTCTGTTATTTATGGCTCTGTAGACCAGGAGTGTGGTTTGTTGACAGCCTTCAGCTGTTAGCAAATTCAAGGTATGCCTCAGCTTCTAAGCCAAAGTCATGCTCTTCCCAGGGAGGCCACCAGCCAATGACAGAATAAGGATGGGACACAAGGGCCAAGCTAATCATGGGACTCCTCCAACAGGCAATCTTTGCTCCATAACTCCTCCTCTGGGCTGGCAGAGACTATGTCCAGTCAGCATCACAGTTAATGATGCTGCCCAAGCCTGCTCCTCTCTTTTCCTTTCACAAGTGTTACTAACTAATACACCTTTTGTACTCCTCAAAACGTTTCCTGGAACGTTTATGCCAAGAGGCATAATAGCTCACGTAAGAAAGAGAATCTATTGGAAGGAAACAGTTTTCTTAAAGAATCAGATAAAGAACTCACTTTGTGAAGGAAGGAGTGCTCTAGGGACCTTAGCAGCAAGACTCTGCCAACCTTTTTCTTAAAGCGCTGCTATTAGTGTAATTCAGTTCCAAAGACACTGAATTTCATCACCTCTGTAGGCTAAACTTGAAAATACAGGAATGTGATTGCCCAACTTGGGTCAGGTTCAATTAGCAGTGGCTAGGAGAACTTGGTCTTTACTGAGGGTCATTTCCAGAAAAAGAAGTAAGAGCTAGTTGCCACCCCCCAAAAATGCTAATACTAGGCAGAAGATGCCAATCGCCAGTGATGGTAGAGTTCATAAATGAAAGTCATTATTAAGGAACTATATTGTATGAGCCAGATTAAGAAAAAAGGGAGTTTCCATTTACTCTGGCCTACTTAACTAGAATAAGAGTAATTGCCACATGCCTTCTTTTGACTATTTGAGAGGAACTATCTATCATGTTCCCTTCAAGTCTTCTAGGCTGGGCATCTTGATTTCCTTCTGGAGTTTTCCATATGTTATATTTTGTTTTTTTCTTTTTTAAAAACTCTCACGTTCCTATTTGCCATTTTTCAGAGACTCTGTCAGTGGTGATCTGATTAGAGTGAAGGGAACTCTTACTTACCTCTACTTGCATTAAAGCTGCCTCACATTACACCTCATTTGATAGAAAGATCATCCTGTCAAATCATATTGAGCTTGCTGTAGCTAAAACACCCACAGAATTTTTAATGAGCTATAAGTTAGTCACATTCTATATTTTTACAATTGATTTTTTGAACATAATTTTTTCCTAAACTTTGTTATTTTTGTTCCTTTTCAAACCTGTTGATTTTTCATCCTTGATTCATTAATATTGGTTCTTATCATTTCCAGTTTTCTCAAATGCAAATTTGACAGCCTCTTACATCTTCATGTAAGTTGTTGATATTAATGAACCTGGTGACATAGCATTTGCGATTTTTCTCCATCATCATTTTTGACATTAAACATGCATTCTTTAGGTTTGGTCATTCTACCAATTGAAGAATCAGCCACATTTTTCCACTCAACCCACAAGCATATCACAGCAGGCTTCCTCAAATACTCTGCTGAAATCCAGATACATTAAAACTAAAGTAGTCCCCTGAGCCACTATTACCCCTTTGAAGGAAAAGAATAAATCTCCTAAAGGCATTACTTCTCCCAAATGCACAAAAATCGGCTAGAATCATGTATGTACTCAAGTGGTTTCTAGAATCCACCTTTTGCCCACTTTAAAAATTCAGTTCATTTGGTCATTTTCTTCTCTAGAATGCCTCAAAAATTATAATTTGCAGTTTTATAACGTAATAGCAATTGGTTTGGAGACTATGAACCTAGAGATGAAATTCATTTATAGTTCGCCTTACCATATCCTCACCTATCTTGGGCACTAACGCCTTCTTTCCCATGCTTTTCTACCTTGTTCAGTTTGAGTGTTATGTCTGAGTATTATGCTTCTTACAGTATTTATCGTGTTTGTCTTAGTCCATTTTGTACTGCTGTAACAGAATATCTGAGGCTGCGTAAACTAAGGAACAGAGATTTATCTCTTACAGTTCCGGAGGCTGGGAAAGCTAAGGTTGAAGAGCCACATCTGGTGAGGGTCTTCTTGCTGCGTCATCCCATGGCAGAAGGCAGAAGGACAAGAGAGCACACATGCATGCAAGAGAGAGGGTTGAACTTGCTTTTAAAACAAATCCACCCTGGTGATAATGAGCCCACTCCCACAATAACATTAATCCACTAATCACCTCTTAAAGGTCCCACCTCTCAACACTGTTACATGGAGATTAAGTTTTCACCACATGAACTTTGGGGGACACATTCAAACCATAGCAGTATTATAATACAAACTTATAGTATTAACTACCATAAGAAGCATAGTAGTTGAACAAATCTTACTGTTGACTTTATACCATCGGAGAGTAGGCACATGCCTACCACTCTTGCCCTAAACACTTTTTAAAAGCCTTTTTATTGTGGATTAGACTTTGTGACACTACTTATAATTCAGTGACAAATTTTTATTTTTTCCTGTTTGCTAAATGCTCTTCCTTCTTGTGAAAATAGCTAGAAATGCTAAATTTAAAGGAAGATGTAATGGTAGTTAATCAGTTAGGATTTTTTTTTTTTAGTGCAACTAACAGAAAACTCAAGCTAGTGTAAATATTAAAGTGGAAGTTATCATAGAATCATGGATATCTTATAGAATGAACCTAAGGGTAAGAATGCAGCTGGCCTTAGAAAGAATGGAACTGGAAATTGGAAAATCTCTGAGAATCCAAAGAGTACTCTTTCCATCTCTCATCTTCTCTTAATGCATAAAACTCATTTTTTTCTCACCAAAATGGGTTAACTGCTAATTGGTCTCATAGCTCTGAAGTTTTGGTCCCACAGAAAGGCTATATCTAAATTCTAAAATTCCCAGGGAAGGAAGGACAAAAACCTTGATTGGCCCAGTAGGGTTCAGGAATGGACTTCCTGCTGGATCAACTGTGGGCAGTAGAAGTGAATCTCATTGCATAAAATGGCTATCGGGTCCCATTGTTGGGTTGAGGATGGTAAGAAAGTGAGTGAATGTAAGCTTTAAAGAGACATGCTGTAAGATGTTTTCTACAGGGGCCTGTAATAGGCTAA